TTTACGTCAATTGGATTATTCGATGATCGATACGTCAAAAAATCAAGCGTAATTCCATAATGTTCCTTCGCAGTGCACGTGACGGTACTTTCGTCTGCCTCGTGCAAACTGCAAACCTGCTCCTATCGATTTCCTATTATCTCACGTGGTGTAAGCCTATCGGCGAGTGCCTAGAAACGAGCCTAGAAATAACCATCCTTTTCCCTGATAGTTAGCATGCGAATGCTAACTATAACAAGATCTGCAACTTACGCCCGAGGAAATCCTCGTCGCGTAATTTATCTTCGTCTTTGGCCAAAAATATTATGTCATCCGTGTAATATGAGCCAATGTGACATTAATCGCATTGGCAACATTATTGATTGAACTTCTTGCACGTTTTTACGATGCGCGCATTTTTATTCGAATTCGCTACGAGATTAGATAAAGAGTGAAATAACACAGTTGTTCAATGGAAGTAAGTTTAACACGTTGGAGACTGTGTCGGTCCCTGCGGACCGACACTTCGGTATTCGTTTGGGGGCGGCGTCGGTCCCGACGGACCGACACTTGCAATATTCGTTTGGCCGATGTCGGACACTTTAGTGGGCGCGTATCGAGTCTAAAAAATACACGAAAATTTTGTCAAATGGATTATCTTTTTAATAAATTTACAATCTTACTTAGGACGGAATATCGATAAAAACAAAACAAACAAAAATAATAAATAATAAAATAAAATAAAATGAGTTATATATTCTACAAATAGAAATCATAAAGAAACTGAGAAATTATAGTTACGTAATTATTGACATATATCGTTGACACAGGAAAATTATTCTCGAAGTTACAACGAAGTTTGTAACCGTAGATTTAGTGAAGGAGATAACTGACTTTTATCCGAATCCTATTAATGACATCGCGTTATCAGAGTTATCTTATCCATAGATAAGAGAAGATTTAATTCACCTGATACGTGAAGGAACCTTCATTAGCTGCGATATTTATGATACTTACGTTCGCTCGCACGAAAAAGTGTCTTATCGTAATTGTCAATTTGTTGCAGGTAATGACAGACTAAGACGGCGGCCGGCACGGAATTCAGGAAGCACAGGTTCACAATGGAGCATCAGCAGGGTCGAAAGCAAACAATGAACTCGACAGAGGTGGCGAAAGCCAACGAGGAGTTCGACTTGTTCTGCAACGCCACCACCCTGAAATCCATTCTGGGCCATTTCCGACATCTCTGCGAGTTGCTCAAAGTCAGGCCAAACACGATCAATCAGTTTTATCCGAAATTGAAGCTCAAATTGCGATCGTGGAAGGCGCAAGCTCTGTGGAAGAAATTCGATCAGAGAGCCAATCACAAATGTTACAACCGTGGCAAAGCGTGCCTGAATACAAGAGTAAGTACACTTTGTTCTTTCTGTTCTTATACTTCTACGTTTAACAAAAAGCCGTAAAGAGAGCTTATCACATTTTTCTCATACTTGATACATACTGATATTTTCCCAACATTATTGAAGATGGCCGAATTTTATTTGAAATGCAATTGTAAAGTAAATTTATCTTACCTTTGTTTTTCCAATATTGTAATTACGAGACGATCAGCCTTTTTTGGAGAAAGATCATTTAAGATGACAAAAGCAAACAATCAAGTGATCTAAGTACTCAATAATAAA